GCAGTACACAAAGAAATAATTTTAAAACCACTGACAGTATAACCACCAGAGCTATTTTTTTAAAGTTTGCTTCGTTCTTGAGAGCAAGAATTATCACAGAAGTCACTTAAACCGTTACCTCTTAGCCTGCATTCCGCTGGCATTCGAGTGCAAACAAAGAATGATAACATGCCAATGAATAATCAGACACTTGCCGCATATGATACTCAAAAAGTTGTTGGAAAGGGCGTCTGACGTTGACATGAGAAAAAAACTGTGCGAATGAAAATCGAATTTTCAATTTTTTAGATAAATAATAATATTTGAAATTTTGCCTAAACGGTGACATTATTCCCGAAACCGTTCACGCTAATCCAGAAAGATAGATCGGTGGAGTCACTCTCCGAATGTTTTTCTCCCACAACAGCCTTCAGATTCTGCCCTCTTGATTCTACTTTTTCATTCAGGAAACCTGTGCTGAATCTGTTAGTGCAGGGAACAAGACACCTTTTCCTTGTTTGTCCGATAGCTTCTTTGACACAGCGACACAATACACGTCATTTCTTTGCATTGCCGCTGAGCTTTTAACATTTCAGGGTGTTGCAGTGTACATAAGGCACCGCCGGACTTTACAGTAAATCAGGTGGCAGCTGTCGCACACTGATTTCAAACGTGGCGAGGCTCCGGCAGCAACAGGACGAGAGGAATTTCGTGCGTTCGTGCACCCTCTCGATACGCAGCGCCACTTGTGGCATCTGAGTGCAGTCAGCACATGCGCGGCCACCCTCTCTCGTAGGGAATGCGCGCGCTCAGCACACTAGGGAGTATATTTCTAGACACTGTAGTTTAACCTTCAACGTACTCTCTGCTTCTTCGTCGACGTCTTGACACCGTGACAATATCTATATATATATATAAATAAATATATATATATATATAATAATAATGAGATATAACAGACAGTAATGCCAAGGAATGTACAGGGGAAGCTATTAACATTAATGGAATGTAAATAAGAAGAAAGAAAAGTGGATGAAAAAATTACCAACTGTAAGCAGGAATCGAACCTACGACCTCGAAGGTCGTAGGTTCGATTCCTGCTTACAGTTGGTAATTTTTTCATCCACTTTTCTTTCTTCTTATTTACATTCCATTAATGTTAATAGCTTCCCCTGTACATTCCTTGGCATTACTGTCTGTTATATCTCATTATTATTGTGTTAAAAACACGGAAAAACGAGCCCTTAGGTATACACTTCTTTCCCTTATATATATATATATATATATATATATATATATATATATATATGTGTGTGTGTGTGTGACGCTATGATGACTGGGAGACGTGGCCTGGCTCATACGCCATGTTTATTCTACTCTGACTTCTTCCTCCTCTGCCTCTACTACTAACTCCTAACCATCGCTACCTTCATACGTCACATATATATATATATATATATATATATATATATATATATATATATATAGGTATGGGATATATCACAACGGGAGCGTTGTCAACAAGGATAAATATATTTATTTCCCAACAGTTTCGGGAGGGGACCTCCCTTCATCAGGGGATGAGTTATATATATGAGTATAACTCATCCCCTGATGAAGGGAGGTCCCCTCCCGAAACTGTTGGGAAATAAATATATTTATCCTTGTTGACAACGCTCCCGTTGTGATATATCCCATACCTTCACGAAGACTAACTGGCCCATTGAATTATTACTCCCACTATATATATATATATATATATATATATATATATATTGTTAAGGCGTTTACTAGCCGGCTTCGCTACAATATATATATATGTATATATATATATATATATAGATATATATAGGCAGGCATGGTGGTTGAGTGGCCGTAGCGTTGCATATAGTCCAGTAGATCCTCCGTGAGCGGTCACAACGTGGTTTATTTCGACGTTTCGACCTAGACTCTGTTATATATATATGTGACGTATGAAGGTAGCGATGGTTAGGAGTTAGTAGTAGAGGCAGAGGAGGAAGAAGTCAGAGTATAATAAACATGGCGTATGAGCCAGGCCACGTCTACCAGTCATCATAGCGTCACACAAGTCGACAGGATGGAGACCTGCCTGCCCCTTCATCAGTCACTCATCATCGACGCAGTTCCCCAGAAGACGCCCTGACCGTACATTGACTACCGAATCGTCGCCTAGAAGGACAACGACCAGCAACATGACAGAACCATCGGTTGACCTCGACATCCCCAAGTACACCGGATCAGCGGACGACGGACCCGTACAGGACTGGTTCAACCTGTTCGAACTCCACGCTACCGCTGCATCTTGGTCGGAACGGGAGATGGTTACGAACTTCAGCGATTACGTCACCGGTGAGGCATTCAAGTTTTACCTAATTCACATATTCGAGAATGACGAGTCATGGCAAAAAAATCAAAGAGGAGATGATTACCCGTTTTAATGACTATGACCAAGACTTACTCATTGCCAACCATCTAGAGACAACTGCACACTATCGTCAATTTCCTATGCAGTCATCAAGCATTCGAAAGTCCAGCGCGAATCGACAAGTGCCTCAAGACGAAGTGGCACATGAATTTACTTTCAGAAGACCATGCGTGTTTTGGAAAAAGCCTAACCATCAAGCACGCCTCCCTTCTGCACAAAAGCCGGCATTTCGAAAGTCCTCACTCCAGCCTATGACGCGAGACGTTGCCCACCGACCTGATCCTCTTAATTCTTCGTCTTGCATACGCGGTCAACCACGCGGTTTTCCATCATGCGGCTCTTCAAGCGCTCCTGACGCTCACCGTTTGCCTCATAAAGAAACCATGTTCACGATAGACGAGTTCACGCACCGAGAAAATACCCAGTCGAGCCATGCTCCTTTCGCACGGGCTCGTGCATCACCGTCCGGTGCACACACCCTCGACAGTCCAAACAAAACAGAACGCTCAGATGCATCGAACGTCGCACGCTACCAGGCGCAAGGACCACTCGCAGTGAACAGCAAAAAAGAAGCCCCTGAAGAGCTCCCTCTCGTTTCTACGGCACCGCAGAATTGCCAAAATTGGCAGTTCAAACCTAGTAATGCCATGTCACCTGTGGTGCCCACATGCAGAGCTCACCAATTCATGAAACGAACAAATTCAGAAGTACATGATACATCCAACATCGTACACAGTTACCTTTTGGAAGCGTGCGTAACGAACCACGTCACCGAAGCCTCTGAAGAGCCTGCTAGCAATGATGATGCATTACCAACTATGCCCGACAAGCAAGACACCAATTCACCAAGCATCAGCTTTCGACAGGACACGTCAAGCATCGAAGAAAATGAATGCCCCATTCCGAAAGGGGCGCCACTACAGCCATCTCTTGAGAAGCCTCAGCAAAGCAAGCAAAGCCAAGTTCATAAACCCATGCTACAACAAGAGAAACTGCAACGAGGGCATCGACGAACGCGAAATTCAACGGAAGCGCACTCACCAATAAAAGAACATCGGAAAATAAGATCTCTTAACCAAAGACCGATTCAAGATGTCAGGCAATTTCGCACAAAGAAAAGTCACCAGAAACACTCCCTGCACCTGCTATTACACCGACTGCACCACCACAAAAAACGCCGAGAAAGACGCAAAAGCACTGCTTGCACACCGCAAGCACTCAGGCACTTCGTCACAGTCGGTCAAAAAGCACGAAAGAAGATTCAAGTGCATCAAACCCGCCACATTATCTTGCGCCGGAAACAGTTGCATTGGTTGGCGTCGTAGAAGCCTACGGAGAACTCACTAAGAATCCTGGCGCAACACGCTCAATGTCACACCACAAGCAAGTTGACGAAACGAAGAAATCACAACGTCATCGCATACTTCAACATTGTCAACGGCGAAACAAAACTTCATCGAGTGCACTCTTAAGGCTTGAAGAACATTGCAAAAAAGCCCATCGTGGTGGATACATTCTCCACCAAAGATCAAGAATGTGCCTTCCATCAAACCATCTGCGACATCGCCATAGAAAAATTTCCAAAGGCCACGAAAGCACCCCTTGTACTCGGCAGAAACACAGGCAGCGCCTAATCAACCTCGATCAACGCGCACGCAAGCTGCCTGCACGACCTGTGCCACGACGAAGAATTCGATGCCTACGATATCTGAACTGTCCATTCTGCAAGGTGTTCGAACCTCGTTTGTTCTTCACAAGAATGCCGGCTGCGATTTCCGCTATCTCCACGTCCAAAGCATTCTTGTGTTATCCAGGACGCAACCATCAGCCTCGCCCACCAGAACTCCTGCGTTAACCGGACTGCTGCACTCTTTCCTGAAGTTTTGCGAGTTTACGGAACACCACGGGGCCATGAAACCAATTGTACATTTTGACATTTGTGAATTCTCAACCTCTCCTTGTGTACTTTTCCTTGTGTACTTTTCCTTGTTCGTAATCCATGCCTACTTTCGGGGGGAGGGGGAATCGTGTGACGTATGAAGCGATGATTGGTAGAAGCCGAGAAGGAAGAAGTGAGAACAGAATAAACATGGCGTATGAGCCAGGCCACGTCACCCATTCAGCATAGCGTCACATATATATATATATATATATATATATATATATATATATATATATATATATATATATATATATATATAGAGAGAGAGAGAGAGAGAGAGAGAGCACAAGGTTTAGGCGCTGCCATGCTGTTTGGCAGAATGTGGCAGCACTCGATCACAATCTTGCTAAACGCAGAAACACAAAATATTGCGTTTTCTAGTTAGTCTTGTTGTCGAAAGATGGCGCTACAATCTACTCATTTCCGCCATTCCAGCCAATGTTGTGTTCGGATTTTGATACATGGAGCTTATGGGAAGTTTTGCGACTCTTATGATTGAATAAATCTGTGCAGAGAGCCCATAGTGGTTCCTCATGATGATGATTTATGTTCGCCCATCATAGACCAACGCTTGTTTTATATATAAAGCTGAGCTATTAAAGAGCAATTGCTGTTTTCAAGAAGACAACTCACCAACGTTGTCTTTTCAAACATGACATCATAGGCGGAGTGAAGTTCTAATTCGTTGAGTTTTGCGTAACGCCGATTTCCATCAGGCACAAGAGCAACATGACGTGGCACGACTCCTTTGTTCAGTATCCATAAAATCAGCCTCTCGTCCCATGTTAGTTGAATATCCCAAAGCCTCTTCCGATCTGTAAAAGCAAAAAAAAAATTAGCTATCACCTTAATACAAGTCAGTTATGCGCAGAATTTAAATAAATTAGCTAAACCAGATAAGCTTATTTTGTCCCCTCGGTTTGGAGTCTAGGACACACTTTACAAATACACAAGAAAATTCGACAAAAATGACAAATAATTAAACACGCATGGGCTCATTGACTGGTTGTTCAAAAAAAAGAAACAATATTATAAAAACACAGACACCCTATACATGTATAATATCTTCACAAAAATCAGTTTTGGGGGCTTTTTGTGGAGTATACGATTTTATTTCAGCTGAAAAAATGACAAAAAAACGCTGATAAAGCAGGTTGTTAGGTAAAATAGTCACTATCCGTTATTTCCCAAGTGTGTTTTCTCCTGCGAATATTTTAGAGGTATTACATTTTGCTTAGTGTTGCGGTTTTTCAACACAACAGTGTTTTATGCCGAAGTCGACCAAGGCTCCGCTGACGTATTTCCAACACAGATATGACGTATTAAAATATATACTGGGAAATTTCAAAGCAAAAACGAGGTGGTAAAGTTCCGTAACGGGGCATCTAACCGGCACCCTCTAACCTCGCAGCTTGTGACACAGCCCACTTAGCTACGGAACGGACAATCTCAGGCAGGATAACGGCAAGCCATATATATATACACACTATGTACCCTTGACAATTCCTATAGCACCCCAACTTCTCTGCGTATTTGTCATCAGTTGTGAGATGGCACAACGGGCTCGCGTTGCGTACAGTAAATTTATAAGCTCCCTATGGAAGCAGAGCAGCATATAGGTCTGCCATCTTGGCTGGTTATCAACCACTGTTATGTGACCAAGCCACGCTTTGTTTGTTTTTTTCTGGCGACTTGCTTAAGCTCGTCGTTGATCAAGGAAGCGTGTTGACGAGTGACAGACGACGGGTCTGGCGTCTCAAAAACCAGCGAAGAAAGAGGAAACACCTGATTTTAAAACTACCACGGGAGCTCAAAAGCATTTTTATTGGTTAAAACTGTATGAACACTCTCGGTTAGATTTGGCCGACGGCGTCGACGAAGGTGTCGCCGTCACTCACCATATAGGTATATGTATCTATATAGGTGAAAACGCAAGAACAAAAAGCGATCTAGAAGAAGACTCTGGCGTGCAGAATCGAATGGGTCAATTGCGAAGTGTGAGTATGAGGTGTTAGCCACTGAGAAACGAAGGAGCACCTCCTTGAACGTTCAAACGGCAAGCAATTTATATATATCTCTTAACGCTGGTGAGCGGAATCGCGAAGGGAACTATTGAGTTTTCAGCATTACGAGCAAGGTTCTGCAATGGACGCGCGTCACCACATTCATCACAACACAGTGGCGCGCGCTCTCAATGCCACGCATACTTTGCCCCGCGGAGACGGGGCAGGGTGGACCCTCAAGCGTGCGCTTATCATGTGGGGGGGGGGGGGGGACAATTGCACTTCTTGGCTGGCCTTGGGCTTTCCCCGGAACAATTCTGTTCTTGTTACCGGCCACACAGAGTCCACTGCAATAGGCTTTTTCGAAAAAAAATCACTCCTATCGCCGCAAACGCATACTACAGTCTGCTGCCATTGTCTGAGGCACCGCTGCAGACGACACGAGCTTTGGCAAAGTGCCAGTGCGTGATATTTCAGCACTGCCAAATCTTGGAATTCCGTGAAAGGTTTGCGTAGAGACGGTGTGTTGCAATGGTGCAGACGTGCTGCGTTTTCATGTGCCACTATCAAGGATATCACGATGAGAACAGCAATAAGGAAGCGATAAAACGAAGCACAAACAGACATGCTCTCTCTCCCAATGCGATGTCAACCAGTCATGCGGAAGGGCTCCATTTTTTAAATTCGCTACAGAAATGAACGTGCTTATTTCACAGCGTCAAGCGTAGCCTTGCTTTAATTAATGAATAATTTTTTAGAAGCGCCTGCGTGCGGTGAACTGTGGTGAATTATTCGTGCAGAAATGCGGCGAGGGTTCGTACGGTGTTGGATAACACGCTGTTGTCACCACTGTTGGGAATGGCGTGTGTCAGCTCACAGCTACAACTGCGCAGACCTAATATACGGAGTGTACAAGGCGATGGTGAGTTGAAACAACGTTTGTGTACAGAATCAACACATGTGTTACACAATTAGCACTGCCCCGCCGCGGTGGTCTAGTGGCTAAGGTACTCGGCTGCTGACCCGCAGGTCGCGGGATCAAATCCCGGCTGCGGCGGCTGCATTTCCGATGGAGACGGAAATGTTGTAGGCCCGTGTACTCATATTTGGGTGCACGTTAAAGAACGCCAGGTGGTCTAAATTTCCGGAGCCCTCCACTACGGCGTCTCTCATAATCATATGGTGGTTTGGGGACGTTAAACCCCACAAATCAATCAATCATCACATTTAGCACTAGGACTGACAGCTTAGAGAGCTCGCCCTGAGGTGTGACGTGGACGCGGCATATTTTCAGGTGCTCTCCGACGCTCTAACGCTTCTTCTCGTCGTGCGGCTTCGCTGTTTTATAGTACCTGGTGAACTCTTGCGTCAGCCCTCTCCAATAAGGGACCACCACTGGCGGTGGGCTCAATTGTACCCGTGGGCGAGGGGCTGGCCGCGCGTTGCGTAATAAGCAAGGGGCTAAAGATGCGGTCTATTGCGTCATCGAAGTGGCATCGGACCCGTGGGTGTAGGTAGCTTGCCTCGCATTACGTCAAATGCCGCTGCAGATAATGGCGTCAGCTTGACTCTCTAGCTAGCTTTGACGCTGTTTGCATTTGCAGAAGCATTGAAGTTCGGTTTGGACTCCAAGGCATAACAGCAACCCCACCGCAAGACAGTGCACCCGAAGGACCAGCTTCTTCCACATGGCTCAGATGTCAGGCGTGCTGCTTCGCCAGCTCCCTCCAGTGCCATAAAAGGGATGACACTCCAGACTCAGGTCCGTGCACAGATCACATTCTGAAGAAGGAAGGATTCCAGCTCCACGCATTATCACCAAAACTTGTCGACTAGCTCACTCTTCTCTTCAGATGATTTCCGGCTTCAGCACTCGTTGATGATTCTGCAACATGTTGAAAACTGTTTCACAACAGGCAACACACGGCAAAGTAAGTGTGTCTGACTAGCCAACAAAACACCGGGCACAATTTAATATAATATATAGCTAACTACGCGTCCATTGAAATTTCGTTACCTGTCCATCAAAAAGCACATGGAGGACACAAAACCCTGAAGACGAGAGCCCAAATTGTCGCACGCTTAGCAATGCGATGAAGTAGGATACAACGTGAAGTTGGCCACTTGAAATTACCCTGTACGGGAGCACTTGGCTAAACCTGTGATGAGGACAAATGTTGGCCCCGACTCGCCAGCGAAAGACGAAGGTGAAGAACGTACAAACTAAAATGAACAGCTTAATGCATCTGCGTTAGCGTTTGGCTTTTCTTTCTTGTAACGAACGTCTAAGTTGCGCCTTTGGAGTATCATGCTCTCCTTCAGTAGTCAACCGCTTTTAGGTTAAACTTTAAATAACCAGGCTACATTACACTGGTATATATTGAGAACAATGTTGGGAACCAGAAACATAACCGCTCAGCTTTTGAACGCCAACACGAGGCAAGTGCATTCCTTCTCGAAGGTACTTTATGCCTCTCTTCTGCAGATCGCTGTTTCGGCCTAAATAAAAAAAAGTGGACTTTCATTACCAGCAATGTCTTCCTGGCACAATATGGCTCCCATGTCTTGGTCACTCACGTCACATTGATTGGCACAGCCCTTCGTAAAGTTGGGTGCTATGAGAACGGGCTATTTGCTTAAGGCTTGTTTAAGCTTGCAAAATGCATTCTTTTTTTTTAAACCGAAACTACATTCAGGCGACAGTACTTATGCGGTACTAAAAGCTTCTCATACTTTCAACCTTGCATATATCTGTAGCTACGGTACAGCATTCTTTTTTTGTTCCCAATTTTACGCTCTTCATTAGCGTGATGAAGTAGATGCTTGGGATAGTTGGTGCTTGGGGATCAACTTATTTGCACAGCGCAAGACTACGAGCAGTGACGAATAACTACAGAAGATTGATATGTGAGGTTTAACGTTCCAAAACCACCATATGATTATGAGAGACGCCGTAGTAGAGGGCTCCGGAAATTTCGACCACCTTGAAGTCCTAATGTGCACCCAAATCTGAGCAAACGGGCCTACAACATTTCCGCCACCACCGGAAATGCCGCTGCCGCAGCCGGCATTCAATCCCGTGGTAACTACAAAAGAAGAGAAAAAGACAGAAAGAGCGCTGACTTCAACTGAAATTTTATTAGCGAAAACGCTGGAAATGCATACTCGTGACAGAACATCACCGAGCAGTTGCGCAACATATTAAATCACGGCAAGACAATCGTCGTCTCCTTGAACGATTACAACACCACACCTCCACGAAAAATTACAATCTATTGTGTCGAAGCCAGAAACTCGATTTCTTTTTTATTCAGAGCATGCGAAGGCATGCTGATACATCGATCATCGAGCATTTGCGTTTGACCGACCTCAATAATCTCTCGCGTTAGCTGCTGACGGTGTTTGGCTACAACAGTGCACTTTTCGAATTCCGGTTTTCAACCAAAACTTCTACAATGAATACCCAAAAGACCATGAACAGCTCAGTATTGATGATAATGATGCCCGTATAACGTTCATTAAGACACCGGGCCATTTGCCCATCATACATCTTGCCGCATGACAGCGGGAGCAAATAAACTACAGATATCACACTTGTTACGAAGAGCCTTCTATGATTGTGCATTATCTCCTTTGTGGGGACTGCGCATTCACCCGTTTTCCGAGCGCTGGAAGATTGTCTGGGGCAGAGCAAACAACCTTCACATCAACTTTATCACCTGTCTTTTTTCTATTTTTGAGAAATTCAATGTATATAGTGAATCACAGCCACGCACTTTGAGCTCCTAGCCACGCAGTTCACTTGTGCTTCT